AACCTGACTGAGTAACTGAGATAATGAATTAAAATTGACCTCGGTTGGAAAAATCTGAGAACTTCACAACCTTTTTGGTGAGGTAATGCACAAAGGCAAAGGCATCTCTATCCGTTGAATCAGATGCCTCCCCTGTTCTCTCTCCTGTTTTCTATACTATGAAGCTTTGTATCACATGGAGGTGGCCACTCTGCTGTGACTAACAGAAATTCTCTCTGATGCTTGCAGCTCAGCTACCTTCCATCTCCACCGTGCGTAGAGAAAGAAAGAAGAAAAGGAATAGAAAAAGAGGACAGGGCTTCCCTGGTGGCGCAGTGGTTGAGAATCTGCCTGCCGATGCAGGGGACACGGGTTCGAGCCCTGGTCTGGGAAGACCCCCCTTGCCGCGGAGCAACTAGGCCCGTGAGCCACAACTCCTGAGCCGGCGTGTCTGGAGCCTGTGCTCTGCAACAAAAGAGGCCGCGATAGTGAGAGGCCCGTGCACCGCGATGAAGAGTGGCCCCCGCTTGCCACAACTAGAGAAAGCCCATGCACAGAAACGAAGACCCAACGCAGCCAAAAATTAAAAAAAAAAATAAATAAAAATGTTACCGTTCTTTAAAAAAAAAGAAAAAGAGGACAAAAGGGAGCCCTCCTACACTCCTACAGTGTTGGTGGGAATGTAAATTGGTGCAGCCGCTATGGAGAACAGTGTGGAGGTTCCTTAAAAAACTGAAAATAGAACTACCATACGGCCTAGCAATCCCACTACTGGGCATATATCCGAAGAAAACCATGCTTTGAAAAGACACATGCCCCCCAATGTTGATAGCAGCACTATTTACAATAGCCAAGACATGGCAGCAACCTAAATGTCCGTCAACAGAGGAATGGATAAAGAAGATGTGGTACATATATACAATGGAATATTACTCAGCCATAAAAAGGAATGAAATGGTGCAATTTGCAGAGACGTGGATCGGCCTAGAGATTATCCTACTAAGTGAAGTAAGTCAGAGAAAGACAGGTATCGTATGATATCATTTATATGTAGAATCTAAAAAAATGATACAAATGAACTTATTTACATAACCGAAACAGACTCACAGACATAGAAAACAAACTTACGGTTACCAAAGGGGAAAGGGGAAGGGGAGGGAGGGATAAATTAGTAGGAGTTTGGGATTAACAGACACACACTACTATGTCTAAAATAGACAACAAGGACCTACTGCACAGGACAGGGAACTCTATTCAATATCTTGTAATAACCTATGATAGAAAAGAATCTGGAAAAGAATACAGATTTACGTACATATATTTAAACCCGAATCACTTGGCTGTACACCCGAATTGTTGTAAATCGACTATACTTCAGTAAAAAAGCAAAAAGAATAGAAAAAGATATGGGGGCTGGGCATCTTTGTCTGGCGTGATGAGCTTGTGACCATTAGCGGTGGAGAAAGTCCGAGAATTTAGTGAGTTGCCTTTCTTTGTGGACAGTACCCTGTGGAGTACTGCTGGATTAGGACTTACACTTTCTAATTACTCCAGTATACTCAATAGGGATTATTTGAAGTAGAAACCCTCTAACAACAACAAAGTCTTAACTCATTTCTTAATATATGATATCTGTTTTGCTCTTTCTGACGTATTTCACTCTGTATGACAGTCTCTAGATCTAACCACGTTAACTCACTTCTTAAAGTTATTTATTTTTTTGATTCACTAAGCAACTGAAGAGATGGCTGGAAAACTGGCTAGAGAATCATAACTCTTGAGTCAAGACAGCAAAACCTCTTTTCTCTGACTCTGTGCTTCCCCCCATCCCCTGGAATCTCCTCCATATAGGTTAACATCTGGCCAGAGGTGTGCAGACACAAAAGATCACTGGACTGGAACACGAACTCATCTGAAAGTCAGAGAGCTCGAGTTCGGTTCTGGACTGAGACTGGAGCAAGTCACTTAGCCCCAAATGTCACCGTCCTCCCATGAGAACTGGCGGATGTGGCTAGGGCACCCTCTGCACCTCCCAGCGCTGGCCCGGGAGCGAAGGGTGCGCAGACCGCTGGGCCTCAGCTCCCCCCCTTCCTGCCCCCTCTACCGATTTGCTGGAATGATCCACGGGGTGGCTGGCTCTGTCTGCGAGACGCAATTCTCTTCCTGTGACAACGCGCCACCCGCCACTCCAGGGCGGGGAGTCTGGCTCGATACAGAGCTTGCTCTCTTGGTTAGGACGAGAAGTCCTTTGGAACCAGAATCCACAGTACCTTTGTGATTTCTGCTTAGAGTCTACAAGTTACCCAGTAACATACAGTTTCTGGTGTTGGCTGTCACCATGGCGAGGAAAACATTAACTGGACCCCGTGCCCATATAAGGCAGAGTGAGCCTGGAGCTCGGGGAGCGTGGCTCTGCGGCCAGGCCCCGTCACAGCTGCTACGGTGGCACCGAGGGGAAAACAGACAGCAAGGGACCCCAGGGGAAGCTGTGGGAAAGAACAAACTATGCACACAGCTCTCGGAGTGGCAAAATCCACCCCACGGCTATTTTTGTGTATTACATTACTTCTGAAAAATACTACCAATCCAAAAGCAGGGCAGAAATAGCTCTGCTTTCGATAGGACCCCATTTGGGTAGACTTGCTAATGAACAAATATTTAATATACATACACCAGGTTCGTAGAATGGACACGGACATTCTATTTTCATAAATGACTGCGTAAAGTATATGCGACTGTCCTAACAATAAATACACTGGGCTCACCCTGTAGACAACGATAAATGGCGTTAGTTATTTCTCCTCACTGGGTTTCCTTCTTATCTCTTACTGTCAGCCATTCCTATCACCTTATTGATCGATATTCAATAGCACACCTGAATCAATCGGGCAGCCCCGGGTGCTGACAGTTAGAACCACCGGGGTTGGATCTGTGTGGTCCAGGAACGGGGTCTACGTCTCTCTGCATGACTCCAAACGCTCCAGAGAGTGGCACGTGCAGGCCAGTCCCCTGGTGGGGTACCGCTGGCCCTGGCTCTTGAACAAACTACCCGGACAACTGCCAAGTCTCAACTTAGTTTGACCAAGATTGATAATGTGTCTGAAGGAAAGTCAAGCCCATGCTAGGTCACTCATGTTAATGAAATTAACCAGAAGGTGTCATTTTCTACTTTTTGGCAATGCGTAGAAAGAGACAAGGTATTTTCTTAATCAGGGAATAACACCTGTGCTGTAAACTTAACTAAACTAGGAAGACCAGGGGACCTGCAGAAATTCTCTTCTGATGACCTCTTTGAGAAGACCCTCGGCGTCATTTAAGAATCCACTGCTGTGCAGATGGCATCACATACGGAAATAATCAGAATGAACTACCTTTATGGAAGAACAGCGTTCTTGTAAAAGCATTATGGGAGTTATGTTCACATATTGGTTCTACGTTAACTAATCATAAAGAGTGAAAAAGAACAGACCCAGCCCCCTTCTACTCAGTCTGGCTTCTGTTTGGCAGATCCCAGGGAGAATGCAGGTCCTATCAGAGCTGGGGTCCCTCCAACTCGGGCATGTCTCACAGTTGCTTGTACAACACGCGTTTGCCTTCTCTGTGCCCGCAGAAGGCTGAGCTAGCCAAGCGCTGGGGAGGGGAGAGCCCTGCAGTCAGGCTTTTCACCACTGCCCCAGAACCATCGCTGGGTAAATCTATAGCAAGGGACCCCAGGGGGATTTAAGTCTCATGGAACGGTTTCCATATATTTAAAAATACTTCTCCTTGTTAAATGCCGATAAAGCATCTTCAACTAGCACCTGCTTAAGCACAAAGTCCCCACTCCAAGCAGAGGAACCCTTTACTAAAGCAACAACAGCAAAAACTGTCACGATGAACACAGCCCGTGGAGACGGAAGCTTTGACCTCCTGGCAGAAGATCACTCCTCGACTGTGAGCTATGCCGCTAAAACAATGGGGAGTCGCATGTTAGTACATAAGCCCACCACACTTATAAAGGGGTTCCCTGCCACGCCTTTTAGGTATTTGACTTTTGGGGGCGACTCAGGTAGGGAAGGATGTAGGGTATGACACCCAACCTCAGAGGCGGGTCTCCAACCAGACGTCTCTTCCTCCTGGTGGGTGGGGATGGAGCACGGCTACTTTGAAAACTGACTTTAGAATTCAACTTGGTGAAACGCATTTGGAGCCCCCGAGGATGGCTGTAATTCCCGGTTCCAACAAGGACAGGGCAATGCAGGCGAGAAGCCCCAGTGGCCTCTTACTACCTGGCGTCGGACAAGCATGAGTCCTAGAGGGAACTGCGTGATTCCAAAGCGTAAGGACTCAGAAGACTTTGTGATGTAAAACGAAATACTGCTTCCCACAGTGCCACACACCAAAATGGGCTTAGACGTGTAAACAATTCCTTTTTAAAATCAGCAATACCAAGACTCAAACATCAGCTTTAAAGGCTACACTTTGATTGAACGTATGACACCCAAAATCAGGTCCGTATTTCAAACTCTGCCAGATGTTACGGTGATAACTTGGGGGGACCGTTTTTCTCTGACTTACCTATGAAGTGGGCTTTACATAAAGGGCATTCAGGGAATGAGTGGGATCATTTTAAAAGCCAAAGCGATTCTCAGCGGTATAATGGCAGCGCCCTCTAGTTTAAATGGCTATTGCAGTATAAATGCGACTATGCTTTCTTTAGGCAGTGTTTTTACAAAATGTATGCTTATATATGATATAAATATAAAACGCAGTTGCATTATGTGTACCTATATGCATACACGTGTATTTGTGACAACAAACAAGAGAAAAGAGGCTTGAGAAAGTTAACGCAGTTCTCAATGTATTAAGAAAGTGGTATAAATCGACCCAATTTTGCATTATATTGTTGTTTGCTTTGTGGGAAAGAACGCGCCTGTATTAAATTTCTTAGGAATGTACGCAAAGGACTTAACCAGGCAGGATGCGGCACTTCGTTCAAAATGGATGTGTAAGGAAGATAATACTGCAGTGTTGCGACTTACCCATCCTCCTTTCTCGGGATAGCACTGGCAGCCCCCACTGCAGTCTCTCCCTCCACAGGGCACATCGAACTTCTTCGCGCCCTGCAAAAATGAAACACAAAGCAGAGAAGTTACCACAACACTGCAGCTACACTATGCGTCATAGTGCCAGGTGCTGAGAGCCCTTCCAATTCTAACAACTACTCATTCAAAACTTTCGGTAAGTCTTTAAAAAAATAGAATTTAATTTTCAGAGCAGTTTTAGGTCCATAGCAAAAGGTACAGAGACTTCATGCACAGCTCCCCCGGGCCTCAACCTCTCAACCAAAAACATCCCTCACCAGACGGGACATTCCTTACCATCAGTGAACCTCCACTGACACCATTACCACCCAAAGTCCACAGTTTACACCAAGGTCGCTCTTGCTGCTCTACGTTCTATGGTCAATAAGCCTTTTTTCAGTGTCTATTAAATGCCAGATGCCAAGCTAGATCCTGGGGCTCAAAAGTCAAGAACTTTGCCTGGATCCAGGGATCCCACGTGAAGTGAGCCTTGGATACTGTGTTAAGCCCTTTAGCTTGGAGGAGGAGTCCAGGCACGTAGGAAGCAGCCCTTCATTCTGCCTGGCAAGGTGGGGGATGGGTTCTGGGAGGAGGCGTCCAAGGCTGAGTAGGATGGGGTTAAGATAAACGCGCAGGGCACTCCAGGCCCCATTACACAGCACGGGTCCCGGTGAATTACAGGGAGAAGGGGCTTCTGATCCGGAGGCAGAATTTGCAAATACACCTGGTAGGTGTATTTGTAGGTGTATTGCAAATACACCCTCACCTCCATCACAGGGTACCCGCCATCCACGGAGAAGCCCCGCGCCCCTTCCCTTTCCCTGAGACGTGCTCATCTAGGGTGCCGAAGAGGAGGGGTTGGGGAAGAGGCTTCTCTTAAGTATTTATTCAGTCGGGTTGGGGTGACCTCAGTGAACTTTTCATCAGACACTGAGATATAACTCTTGATGACTTTAGTGGATGACTGGGCGAGCTCTCTGGCTGGACGACTCCAGCGAGGAAAAATGCACTTATTTCTTGCCCTCGATCTCAGAATTTCAGGCAAAAGATGGGCTTGGAGATTGGACCGTGTCTGAGCTCTTCCTTTCAGACTGTGTCCACAGCACTAAATATTTTGAGTAGGAAATGACAATCAGATTGGCCCTCCCCCGCTCTCTGCTCAGCCAAGTGTCGGCCCTGCCCACTCCCACCCCCATCACCCCCGACAGGCGAGTAAGCACAGCTGGTCACTGGGGAACCTCCGTCTGGCTCGACACTCTTGGCCAGACCGTTCGGAGCCCCCATGGAGCCCATCCGGTGGGGACCCTGGGCGCGGTGAGCTCTGGTGAGCACTCAGCCAAACCTTACGGAGCAGACAACACTTCCCGACAACAGAACCCATCCCAGCTTTAAACAAAATCGCATTTCACCATAGCGACTCCATCCTCTCCTGAGCTGTCTCAGTGACTAAACAGGGGGTCACTTGGGGACTCCCTCTGAAGTTTTCTGCCTGTTTTTTGTGTTAGCACATCTGCCGGCATCTTCCCTGTTCCCGAAGGTTCACGTCAAGGTGCAGATGGGGCTGCCTGGCCACCTCGGCAGCTCCTACCGGCACGAGGCTTCCTGGACGGTCAAGCTTAGCGGGCACACGAGTAGACCCTGACTCAACACCATCTGGCCAGAGTTGACCTTAGACCTCATCAGCAATGCACTGTCCTTTCTGTAGAGGTGATACATTCCTTTCCTTTGCTAACTACTTTCTACCGAGAGGTCTCATTTGAGAGCTGCTCATTTTTTGTTCTTATTATCACTCTTTACCTAATCTAAAATCGGTGGCATCAGTCACTACTTTGAAGAATTCAAAAAAATCTGAAAATCTCAAACCCTTTAAACAAACCAGCACCTCCAAAGCCTTTTGAATCTCTTGGTTATCCTTCTGTCCTAAGGCAATGGGACAGCCCAAGCTCCATCATGTAAGAGCAAACATGGATAAAATCCTTTCATGCCCTCCAAATATGATACAAGGTATTTGCCAATTTTTTTTATGGCTTCAGTGTTTAACTTCAGTGGGGCTCATTTTTAAATCCCACAATTTTGCATATTTGGTTTTTTTACAACCAGCTCCGTGCCAAGCCATCGGCGTATGGGTTATGATGAGCACCAAAGTGAGAGGAGCCTGGATGGGCCGCCGCATTTGTACTCTGTATCATGTACGACCGTGACGTGAATAGGTGTCTTGGCAAGGTGTCCCTGGCTCACACAATCATAATTCATTTACCAGTTGTTTGGAAAGGGTAGGGGGACTCCTCAGGCTGAAGGGTGAAGCATAAACCCCTATTCCCCATCTGGTGTTTCACATGCTATTTTTAATTTTGATTTTAAAGCCACTTGCCAAATCTCCGTATATAAATCAATGGTTGAAATGATTTTAATGGTTTCAAATCGATCTAACAGACTTTCTGTTCTAGGTTTAGGACATGCACTGGATTTAGTTATAGCAATGAGTTCTTCACAACCCGCTCAAAATTCAATAGCACTTTTCTGCTTTTGGAACTAAGACTTACAGGCTTGAAAACTCCTGGCCTCAATGCTTTTCAACCACGTGTGCATGGCTCAGATACCCCGACACAGGAGGTGAGGGAGACATTGTTGAGAAGCAGCCCTCCACCCAACAAGCCAATTTCCATCATGGAAACTCCAGCCCTCCTGTGCGTGTTTCCCATCAGCATCTGACATATCCTACAGAGGGGCTCATAAGAATTCCAACAGCGACAAGAGCCCTAAGTACCTCCTTCTGGAATGTCAGGTCTCCAGGATGAACAGAAGTATTTACTTCACTAGGGCGGGGCAAGTGCTCCAGACATCTCTCAGAGGCTGAACAAGTCGCAGGCTGAGCCTTGGCATTCCTCTGACAGGACCTGGGCTCTGGAACATTCTCAAGGTACATATACCCTCCTGAGGGCCTCGGATGAGGAGTGTCTGAAGTGCTACGTGGGGTCCTGCGTCTGTGTTCCAGCCCCACCCCCCCCAAAAAAGCTCAGTCCAACCACTGCCCAACCCAAGCCCTTGAGTCTACGCCTGAGTTTACTGCTCAGCACAACTCAAAGACCAACCGTGGTCCTCTTGTCAGCTCCTTGATGAAGGTGACAAGCTTCCTCCCCACCTTACACCCACCTCAAGAGTCTGCCCCCCACCCTCCAAGATGACAAGCTGGCCCTGGCTCAGACCTTAACTTCAGAGTTTCCAGGAGGGCATGATTTCACCGAAAGGTCCAAGCTCTCTCAGAAACATCAATTCAATCCTCCATTAGTTTCTCACTTCAAGTCTGAATCCCCGTCGGTCACACGGTGTAGAGCAATACTCCCGCAGCAGCTCTCCCTGAGCTCGCCTGCAGGTCACCGAGGTCAATGTCCAGCATCTCAGTGGGAGATGCAGCTCCCAGGGCCAGGAGGCTCCTGGAGACTCACTGTCACGGACCAGCTCCATCTATTCAACCGAGCAGGCCAAACGCTCGCCCTGGTTTGGACACCCTTCATCCCAGCGCAGACAAGTGCTCACGGCCCCATAGGACCAATGATCCTGAAGATCCGTGAAAACCGCAAGGACTCCCATCCCTGGAGAATGCTCGAATCCAACACGCACGGGTTCCTCCTGCCCCACAGTCACACCGAAACCCACCCAGGCTCCGGGCCCCGGAGGAGCCTTCACCACACACTTCCCAGCCCGGAGCATTCAGGGAAACACTTTCCTTCAACTGCGTCAGCCAAGGGACCCTAACCCGCAGTTCCAAACACATATGACAGCTGGAAGGAGATCATTTATCCACCTTTTCACTTTGCAAATTCACTCCTCCCTCCCTCCCTCCGTCCCTCCGTCCCTCCGTCCCTCCCTTCCTTCCTTCTCCAGTGTTTACTCTGGGTGATGCACGGTGCTGGCCGCGGGTACACAGTGGGGAAGAGACCATGTAGACAAGTAGACGAGAACGAAACCTACATCATTTCAATTATGGCAAGTGCCGTGAAGAAGGGGGGTAGTCCGGAGTGAATAAGAGAGAAGAAAGCCCCACATGTTAAATCACGCCTGGTGACAGAGAGGACTGAGCGCCGGCCTTTCTCCTGCACTGTGCTGTGCCCCGTTCCTCCGTACGTGCCCACCCTGAGAGGCCGACCTCCTGCCGTGTAACCCAAGGCCTCTGCTGCTGGAACCGTGGGGACAGACGGGGAGCCGCCAGCCCTCAGGCCCAGCATCGTTATCACCAGGACTCAGAGCAGCTAGGACTGGAGCGAATTGGAACCCACCCTTCTCATGACCCTTAGGATGCACCCACGTTGCTTCCGGGCCAGGACTCCATTTCAACTCATTGCTGATTTATCGTCCAAGACAGACAGCCCATGGCCTGGGACATCCTGAACCCTACTTCTCAACCAAGAACCATCTCCGCTGCTACCAAGATGCGTGATCATTTCAGACCGTGGATCTAACTTCCAAACTGTGGAAGGAGGGGCACCAGGGGGATGAATCGCTACTTCCGTCAGCAGATGAACGAGCATCACTGAGGACACTCCCATCCTGGCAGCCACCTCTTCCGCCACCAGACTAGAGACCAGCCCCACTGGCCTCATCCACTCCTTCCAGGGAAGGTAGAGGAATTTAGCCTGCTGGGACACGGGGGAAGGACGTGAATTTCTTTTTTTACAGAAATTTTCCATTCTTTAAAAATTAACTTTTATTGGAGTAGGGTTGATTTACAATGTTGTGTTAGTTTCAGATGTACAGCCCAGTGAATCAGTTATACATATACATATATCCACTTTCCTTTAGATTCTTTTCCCATGTAGTTCATTACAGAATATTGAGTGGAGTTAAGGGACAATGAATTTCGACATCACGGTAAGCTCTTGACATCTCAGAAAGTGTTGCAGAGCTGACAGGAGTAGTTTTGAAAACTCAATGTGAAATATAAGCTTTGGGAAGTAAGAGAGAAGCAGCATAAACGTAAGAAGCCCAGCAGACCAGGAACGTCTCTGAGCTGCACCTGGAAGAGATGAAGGGTAGGTAAT